AAGGCTCGGGGTTAAGCAGAAGTGGCGTGGTGGAATGGAACTGGGGAAGCTGGGAGACGACTTGGTACGGAGTATTCTCACGAAGCTTCCATTCGATGAAAGAATCTTCACCGCCGCCTGTGTATGTCGTCAGTGGTTGAGGGTGGCGCGGGAGCCGGAATGTTTTCGAGAGATCGACACGAGGGAGTGGGCGGAGAGGCAAGGGCGTTTGCTACACGACACCAGGTGGCGCAAACCCGTCATTATCGGTGGTCGGTCCATCCCCGCCCGTGCGGATGCTATGTTGAAGAAGCTGGGTGAGCTAAGCAGAGGACGGGTGGAGACGTTGATCCTTCAGTATTGCACTACGAAGGGGATGATGGCTGTTTGTGCTGGGCAGACGAACCTCAGGCGTCTAGAACTTTGGTCTGTGTTCGGTTCCCTTGACGAGCGGCGGATTGATCGTTTGCTGAGATCATGTCCGCAATTAGAACACTTGAAGATTGGTGACGTCACCTTGCCGGACTCTTTTAGTCGATGGCCCTTTTGCCGACCTCACCCTGACTCCCCGTACTCTCCTCCTCTTGCTGATCGAATTCCCTCTTCTCTCCTCAGAAGTGCCGCCTTCGGCGACGATTCTGTAATCGACGACAGTCATTCCGTCGTGTGGATGGAACCGCCCCCTTGTGAGTGTGTCAATCCCCTTCCTCCCATATTTCGATCTCCGCAGATTCAACGTGGGCTCTTGGATGAAGAAAGTGGCGACGGATCTGATGGGCAAGATGGAGGAGGGGGAAATGAAGTGGAAAGACAGGGGCGGGGTGGCGCTGAAGGGTCTGGGCCAAGCGGTAAAGGGGGAGGAGGAGGAGGAGGAGGAGGAGATGAAATGGAGAGAGAGGAGGGGAGGGGTGATGGACGCTCGGCGGTGATCGACGATGTAGGAGGAGGAGGGGAACATGAAGAAGAAAGCGAAGAAGGTTCTGGGGGCCAAGATGAAGATGGAGGAGGAGGAAATGCCGTGGACGAAGATGGGCAGGATGATGACCAAGGGTCGGCGGCAAGCCATGAAGCGGGAGGAGGAGTAGGAGGAGGAGGAGGGGAAGGAAGTGATGAAGTGCAACGAGAGGAGGGGGTGGGTGATGAAGGTTCTAGCGCGAGGAGGGAAGAAGAAGCAGGAGGAAATGAAATTATTGAAAGAGAGGGGCGTGGTGATGATATACTAAGGTGTTCGCCTGTCCATGGAGAAGGAGTAGGAGGAAGAGGAGAAGGCGGAGGAGGAGGAGGAGAGGGAGGAGGAGAAGGAGGAGTATTAGGAGTAGAAGGAGAAGGAGTAGGAGGAGGAGGAGGACGAGGAGGAGGAGGAGGAGGAGTAGAAGGAGAAGGAGGAGGAGTAGGAGTAGAAGGAGGAGTAGAAGGAGTAGGAGGAGGAGGAGGAGGAGGAGGCGGAGAAGGAGAAGGAGGAGGAGGAGAAGGAGGAGGAGGAGGAGAAGGAGGAGATGATGAAGTGGAAAGTGAAGATGGGTGGGGTGATGAAGAGGTCGTGAATGACGGTGGTGGGGACGAGGAGCTTGTTGTGACCGTCTTCTCAGTCTATGGTATGTGGCTGTCGCCGCCTGGTCGCCTTGAGATCCGCTATCGTCAATTCTTGCCCAGACCTCCTTCTCCTCCAACCATTGAGGATGAAGACGGTTCTACATCAGATTCTTCATCCACCTCATCTTCATCTTCATCGAGCGGCGAAGAGCAGCAGGCCGGTCTCCAGATGCGGGGAGGTAATCATCAGGAAGAGGGGCAAGGCCATCATGATGACGGAGTGGAATCCGATCCTGTTGCTACGACGACGGCGGCGGCGGCGGCGGCGGATGCCTCTGCCGCGCTAGAAGATGAAGATGATAATGATTGTGATGTCTCATTTGGTGATCATGGCGTTGATGGATTGTCAGTTCTGAGCATCGCCAAGAACTGTCCAAATTTGAAGACGCTTCATCTCACGTCAGCTCTTGGCAGCGACGACTTCTGGACGCAGACCACGATGATGGCCTTAGTCCAAGGATGCACGGGATTGACCGATCTGTGTCTTGCCTGTCTATTCTTCTACCGCTCGTCCGGAGATGCCGACCAGCCGGAGTGCTCCGCCATCTGTGTCCTTGCTGCGGGATGCCAGCAACTGCGAAACCTCTCTCTCTGCGATTTGCCTGCCGGCCTTCGATGCCTTAGTACAAGATGATGGGTGCTGCCCTGTGTTATCTGCTTTGTCTCTGAGTTTGAGAGGCTTAGTCCATCGAACCAGATTGCATGATCTAGACGTATGGGATTCCTATTTCCGTTTCACTCGACGTCGACAGCTGACATCTCTGTGCGTGATAGATAGCGTCTACTTCGGCGACTCTCAGCTAGAGGTGGCAGTGACAGAGTGTTTCGGCTTAACGAAACTCGACGTGAGCGGCACGCGGGTGTCCGACTGGGGGATCGCTGCAGCGGTGCGGAATTGCGCTCACCTCCGGATACTTAGCGCATCTCGGTGTAGATACGTCACCGACGAATCAGTTAGGGTTGTGGCGGCTGCAGCTGGGCGGCAGCTGCGCGAGCTGTGTTTCGACGACACCAGCGTCACACACAACGCCTTGTCTTCTCTTGCCTGCATGGGAACGCACACTCCAGGACTTGTGAAGCTTCTGCTGTACGGAACCTTCGTCGGAAGAGGAGGAGGAGGAAGAGCAGCAGGAGGAGAAAGAGAAAGAGTCTCTACCTTACCCTCCTTGGAATCGTTGCCAAGTTTACAGGTCATTCTTCAGCGTCATCCCCATCTGGAGGAGATGGGTTTGCGCGTCTTCGATCCGTTGTTAGATGCCCATCAAGCGGAGTGCATGGAGTTGATGTGGGCACAAGCAGTGGCGGCGCGGATGATTGCACAGTCTGAACGCGCATTCACGCAGCATGGGGAAGAGGGATTGCGTAGCAGCAACAAGAGGAACGATTGTGAGTATGGCTGCGAGGATGGCTGGGAGTATCGTAGCGAGGATGGTATAGATTGGGAGCCTCGTCTTCCCGCCTGGCAGTGCTGTGGTCCTTTCCTGCGTTGCCTCTCTGCAGTGGGTCGGTCCTTACGCCGCCTTCATCTCTATTGCGACCCGAGAGCGCTTTTCGGCGACTTCCAGGTGGGGTTTCTCGATTTCCTCAGCTCCTGCCCCAATCTAGTCTCTCTCAGATTGACAGGATTTGCCCAAGTAAGTGATGCCATCGTGTACAGGCTGGGGGATTTGTGTCCTTTGCTGGACCATCTCGCCATAGCTGGTTCTCGAATACCCTTCTCCAGAGGTATCGAGCACCTGGCTGTCACAAGCCCCAGACTCAAGTCTTTCGAGTACCGTCCGGACCATTACAGGGACGTCCTCTTGGACCAAGCATATGACCTGGCTGCCTATATCAGGAGGTGAAGCTTTTAATTAGCCTACCGGCTTCCGCCAAGCCATTGACGCCATCGTGTACAAGCTGGGGGATTTGTGTCCTTCGCTTGAGCATCTAGGGTGTGGAACTCCTGGCTGTCCCAAGCCCCAGACTCAACTCTTGCCCGTACCGTCACGACCATTACACGGGATGTGCTCTTGGACGAAGCCTGGAAGTAGGTTAGACATGTGAGGACGAGAACCAATTAACATACCATCTTCCCCCGAATAGAAAGCCTCGGTCGTGATTGCTGTGTTTGGGCCAAACGTCCCTCAAGATTCAGCCATAATATCCCGGTTAGGTACGTCAGGGGTACACCCAAGTAACCTATTTGCAGTAGTGGGGGTGCGCCAGGGAACATTTGGAGATGGTGGGGAAGAAGGAAAGGCAGTGTGTGTATGATAATGGAATTCGCATCAGTTACATCCCCTCTTCTTCTTTATTCCGTCTATTTTGAAGGGCTAGATGATGCCGCTTATTTGTTTCTAATTCTAATCTAGGACGATGCCAGCCGGGCCGCCCGGGTCAGCCTATTTTCCCGGGCGGCCCGGCCGTGCAAGCACTAGGGAAGGTCCCAGCCAAAAAAAACATCCGGAAAAAAACTCGCTTATATTTGTTTCTAATCTAGGCTACCAGCGGGGCCACCCGGGTCAGCCTATTTTCCTGGGCGGCCCGGCCGTGCAAGCACTAGTTTGGCCCTATTTTCCTGGGCGGCCCTGCCGTGCAAGCACTAGTTTGGCATACTGCGAAGCCACACGGGCCTGCAGGGCCCATCCCGCATTCTCAGCCTAAAAGCCTAGAAATAAGGGCTTACAGGCCCCGTGTCGTTTCAGCCTGAAAACTGAAAACGAGGGCCTACAGGCCCTATTTCGTTTTCAGCCTATAACAGGGCCGTTCAGGCCCTGAGTCTTTTCAGCCTGAAACAGAGGGCCACTTTCGGGCCTACNTTCGGGCCTACAGGCCCTATTTCGTTTTCAGCCTATAACAGGGCCGTTCAGGCCCTGAGTCTTTTCAGCCTGAAACAGAGGGCCACTTTCGGGCCCTCATAAGATCGTCCTGCCCTAGAACTCAGGCAACAAACCAGGGTTTCGGGAACAGGCACGCCAGCCTCAGCAGGAGCTGCAGCGCCAGCCCCTGGCTTGCCCTGGCATTGGCAAGAGCAGCCTCCTGGACTGCCTTGCCCTGCAGCTGCAGGCAGTCAGGAGGCAGGTCGAGTAGTACATAGGGAGTTCCCATGCACTTCACGGGCAGGTAGTTGGACAGAAGGCAGGAGGTAGTCTTCAGGATTCGGCCGCAGCACTCTGGAGGAGCGCTGCAGGAGCAGCTTAGCGCTAGCAGTAGTCTTCAGCGCTGCGCGCTAGTAGCTGCAGAAGTAGTCTTCAGCGCAGGGCGCTAAGTAGTGGTAGTGGTAGTAGTATTGGAGAGAGATGGCTGGCGGAGGCCAGCGAGACTTACCTGTGGCGCCATAGCTTCAGCTCCATCTTCGAGGTACCTTTATCAAGGCACCAGCTTCACAGGTTAGTACCGGACAGAGAGAGAGAGAGAGTTCTTCTTCTTCCTCTCCTAAGTCCACCATCTCTTCTTCACCCTCTCCCAACCTGACTTCTCAGTAGCAACAGACTACGCGAGAGAGAGAGAGAGAGAGAGAGAGAGAGAGAGAGAGAGAGAGAGAGA